AGAGACTGATAATTAGCTTCTTATTATCTTCATATTCGTTGAAAAACTTCACAGAATAACCACCACCTCGATAAATGTGGACCTTCCCCATCAGCCAAGTGGTATATAACTCGGAATTCGTACCAAAGGTGTAGCTAAGTAAATCCAATACTTTCATAGAAATATCTAACCTACATACGATTCTATGCCCAAAGACATCTTACCCTTTATAATCGTCGGAATCTTCCATCGCAAAGGAGTATTCAGGGTAGCATACTTCCGAATACGATCCGCCTAAATATACATAGCTGCTATCGCAATTAATTGGCTTGACACGTATTTGGCGCATTCTGAAGCCCCCTAGGACCGCGTTTACACTCATATAATTGTCAGAATCCGTCGTTCTTGCAGGTGGTAAGGTATCGTCATAGTGTATGTTGTATAAGAAGTTATAGTACAAGAAATCCCAAATATCGCCAATATTGGTGACGTGAGTAAAATTGATAACCTTTGTCGGCGTTACGGTGAAATCCTCGTTGGTAAAAGAATTTAAGGTCATTTCATTGAAATAGTACATGTACCGAGACTGCACTGATCCCGTGTCTATAAAAAGGAGGACTTCACATACGGGGTTGGTTATTGGATGAAACCTCCAGAACTTACAGAATTGCGCGCACACCAGAAAAACAATATACACGAGGAATTGAAATATGGTATTTCTCAGATCCCCTTCGGTACGGTACTGAACTTTATAGCTTATCTTTTGTTTCCCATCAACATTAGTATTAACAGTTACTTCGGGTGCTGTCGTACCTGGATTTGTTGGGGGTGCACTCATTTTTGGAACGTACGACAATATAATTTGATTTATATGCTAGAGTTGGTAAAAGAGTCTGGTGTTAATTGCTATTACTATTATATTATTGTGAAAGTTTAAATAGCTGACACATTAGTACAAAGCTACTTTTCCAGTTTAGAGCAATAGAGAAATACCCTGCGGGCAAAGCTTGGGCAGAGAGTACAGTTATGGATATAACTTTATTTCAAATTGGCCGATCATGACAAAACTTGGTACAGGTACTTGCCAAATTTGATTGAGAAATTGTATTACGGGAGTTATGGGAAACCACTTATAGCGAGGGAGTGGGGGGGGGGAGTTCTTTATGTATTAAGGCATGAAGTGATTTCGAGATATGAGTGATAACACAAACGGTGTTACGGAAAATATCCAATTGTGTCAGTGAGCGAGCTCAAATATTTGGTTTGAAAATCTTTGGAAAATCTGATGTAACGCGATTTAAATTCACTGCAATTAGTAATTCCATTAGTAATTCAAAGTTAATCGAGAGATGTCAATCGAAGATATTGAGAACCATCACATACGGAGTGAAAATATCCGGGAAGATTTAAATGTAGGATCTGTTAAAGATGAAATCGCCAAGGCGAACGCAAAGTACCAGCTTAAGCTTCGGAACCATCCAAATGGACTTGCGCAGAATTGAACTTGGCAGGCTAGCCATACAAGACTCGGGCGAAGAGACCTCCCCATCCCAACAGCTAGGGCCGTAATTCAAATATTTAATTGTAATTAATTAAAGAACTATATTAAATTGAGATTTGACTAATTATGGTAAGTCACTGATTCGATAAATAAAGAAAACTTTAAAACAGAAATTCAAGGCTTCTTGGCAGTTGCTTTTACCCAAGGGAAGAAGTACATCTAACTATTGCTTAACATTCAATTAAAAGGATGTAATCGAAATTGTTAAATAACAAGAGTGAGCAAGAAGCTTTTCAACAATTTATTTGCTATTATTTTTCTTAAAGAAATCACAGCCAGTCTAGGAATTTATGGGAAGTACATATAATTGACACTATTCGATTGTGAAAGCATGTAATCCAAAAGGGAAAAACGTAAATTGAGAAAAATTAAAAGTTCCAAAAGGACTTGTCGGTTTCTGTCTCGCTTGCCTCTCTAGAGCTCTTGTCGACAAACACAAACACGCACTATAATAGTAATAATATACTCCATGTATGTATACTATATTGCTTTTCATTAAATTTAACTTAATTAAATGCAGCCGAATTAAATCAGAAATAAATATGTAAGGACTAGCGTAATAACTTAAAAGTAATATTGTACTTATAACGGCAGGATAAGTCAATAAAATAAAATAGCTAAATATTATTACATATTTGATACATCAATATATTCAGTTTGTTATATATAAGAGCCTAAGAAAGGACGGACATTACTTTAAGAAACTGCAGTCCATTACGCTAATAACTGTCTACTATTTATTTTCAAATTGAAATCATTCTGTAAGGTTCTCGGTCCCCTTTAATATTTGCTTGCTGTTCAGTGAGACTGCAAAATAAATGTGGCAGTTATAGTAAGTATGTTGCAACGCTGCTGAATGCAACTGCGACCGCATAATTGCGACAAAAGCAAATAAACAAATGACCTCAAGTACAGAGGTCGCTTTCGTGGCAACAAGAAAATGAAGAATGCGCTCTGTTTGCGTTTTGTTTGCTCAACCAGCTGCACGAATGCGAAATGAGAGCAGCAGTAGCACCAGCAGCAGTAGCAGCAGCAGTAGTAGTAGCAGCAGCAGTAGCAGCAGCAGTAGAGTCCGCAGTCGCAATGTCAAACAAAAGCGAAAAATGGCGAGAAAGTGCAAGGCATTCAGGAAAGGTGACCAACTGCAATGGCAGCCAGGCCTGGCCTGGCACGACACGAAACGACACGCCGCCCACAACCCATGTCCCCAATCCGTTTGAGGGCAACCATTGCAGATTGTTTTTTATTTTCACTTCTTTGCTTTGTCCAGATGGTTTACTGCGAGTCTGCGTGAGCCTCGCAGCATCGCAGCATCGCAGCGAACGAATGTGCGGATACGCCGCGTCAGCTTTTGCGCAGACAATCGCCATGACGGAGGACATATTTGTTGCTGGCAACAAAGTAGGCGACTCGTGACTTGCGACAAGGAGGACCTACGTCTCTTCTCTCATGGTTGGCAATGGACGCGAAGCGGAACTGCAGTCTTTTACCGCCACTGCCACGCAGTTGCAGGAACGGATATCCCTCCTCATTTTTTGTGTGTATAGTACAGTGTACACGATTTGTGTTTGTTGTGGCGTTGGGAAAAGGCTGCTGCACACAAAGGATAAGGCGGGCGGCTGGCGTTCGCTCGCCTTCTTCTTTACGTTTACGACCGTTTTGCCAGCAAAGTTGGCTCGCACGTGTTCCACCATCTGAGCGCCTGTCCGCTCGTCCGCCATTCGTGTGTACATCTGCGTGAATATGGCGTTAAAAACTTTATATAACACAGAAATGAAATGCACAGCAGAGCGATTTTCATTCTTTTTTATTTTTTATTGTTGTTGTTGTTGTTGCTGTTGCAACAATCTGCTGCCCTTTTAGTTGTGCGCATATTTCGCTTTGTTTTGCAGCCGCACGCCTGCGGCCAAGGGAGTACTCCAGCGTTGAACTAAAAGCGAGCTGAATGGAAAGGTGTGCGAGTTTTTCTTCTGTGCATGCAAAAAATGCAGTTGGGTGGCCAGCTGGCACCCACCATCAAGGGCGCAGATTTGTGCAATAAAGCTAAAAGTAGATTGCATTTTTATAAAATATGATGCACTTCAAAAGGACGAAGCCACCTAGACGCAGCTACAAAACCAAATCTCCGCCTCACGCTAAATATCCGGCTTGCGGCCAGAGCGAATGAAATTCCCCCAAAGAGCTCGATTCGTAATTAGATATTATTGTAATTTGTATAGGAATATTCTCTTTAGTCAAAAGTTATCCATTACTGCGTTTGTCTATACAACAACAGTATTGTTTGTTGACACACATAAATTAGGCAAAAACTTTTTACGCTGATATGAATTTTTTAATGTCCATAGAATTTCGCTGATGAATATTTCAGCCCATAAAAAATATACAGGAGTTGGTTAAATTTCATCGAATTTGGATGTAAAATCCACCTTGCCAGCTGTGTAGAAATGTGTCATCAGAAAACCACATTGATATACAACATTTGAATTTTAACAAGCCGTGCCAGACCATAATCAGTGCACTATAGAATAATATAGCTACTATACATTTTTTGGTTTATTTCCTTGGTTATTGTAACCACTTGTTAATAGTCTCTCAAGCCAACCAGAAGTCTCATCTACATCGGCACTCTATATTTTAATGTTTATTATGATTAAATGGCTAAATCGACTAAAAAGGGCTAGATACAGGGTGCTCAAGAGCCAAAATAGTATGACGCTAGCTTTCTAGCTTCCTTGAAGTCATTTGGATTCACTTTAATTATTACCACAACTCTAATAAAAATGGCTGAACTATTTTTCATTGTAGCTCACTATATAAATTTCCATGAAATTCGACATCACGAAAAATCCCGATATCACAAGAATTCACGATTCGCCAGATATGCTAAGAAAATATCGAGATCGCCAAATTGTTTGTCTATTGTTTATGATTGTTATGTGATATGAAAAGTAAATAATTGATTGTGTTATTCAAAGAATTTTTACTCTATATGTCCCTAAAGTCCCTAAACTAAGTTTTCTTTCTTGACACCGAGAAGAATAGTAAAGAAATATTTTAAAATATTCTGCAAGATTATATTGTAGCACTAGATTATATAAATATTCCACCACTAGATAAAATGCTGAAGAGTGTAATTCAGAACAAAGGTCGTGCGACCAAAAAAGTACCTAACATTTCAATGAAGTGCCAAACAAATGTTTCGTGAATGTGCGTGAGTGTAACAGCTTATTTGTAACACGCACATCTCTAGTACAGAGTACTTGAAAGGGGTAAGCAGGCGATTTTATCATTCAGATTTTTTTCCTTTTTTCAATTTTTGAAATGTTTTGCAAAGTTGCGTACAAAGAGGGAGTGAAAAGCCATTCATTACAAGATACGGGCCGCCTTTGGTTTAGGATAGAGCATAGTTTTAAGTGTTTAACTGGTAGTTCTATTGAATAGAGGATGTACGTGGACTCACCTGTATGGCAGCACGGGCGCCTCGACTAATGGCTGGCATGACACTGGTGTGCAGTACGCATTGCTTTTTTTGGCCGTAGGTGAGGCCATCGACATGGTAACAGTTATCCGGATTTAAATCTATGGGCTCGGAGTAGGCTGGCACCGTTGGACTCGGTGTGGTTTCGTTGTCGTGCTCATTGGGCGCCACCATGCCATATTGCTCCATGTTGGCCAACATAAATTCGCGCCCGCTGGCCACTCCGGCCGATGTCATTACGATGTCTTGTGCGAAAAAGTCGGCCGGCGCCGGCGCACGAAATTTTTCCACGGAGATGACGGCGCGACCCGGTAGGCCCCCTCCAATATTCCGCCGACGATGCTGCGATCGAGCCACACGCGAAAGCAGCTGCAGTTCGGTCTCCTCCGCGGGAGGCATCGTGTCGTTGGCTTGCAAATGCACCTTGAAGGAGTCGGGTATCTCAATGGAGACGGCGAAGCGTTTAGTGTTATTGATGGTCTGGATTATGGGCTCGAAGTGCGGTCGAATGAATTCGGCCTGTCCGCGGAACCACTCATCCCGCTCACGCTGTCGCTGCTGTTCCTCCCGCTGCCGCTGTCTTTTGCACTTGAGGGATTCAGGATTCCGCAGGCAAACGGGCCGCTTTGTGGTGCGCTTTGGTGTTGGCTCTGGGGTAGTGGTTGGCATTGTAGTTGTAGGTGTAGTGCTTGGAGTGGTCGAGCTAGTCGTTGTCGTCATCTGTGCCTCGTTCAGCAGATGTACCTGAGGCACAATTGCAATCTTTCCACGGTCCTTGCCATCTCCTGCTGCTGGTCTGCCGCTGCCAGCGCCAAGCGGCTGCAGGAAAGAGGACAGACTGTCGCTTTCGTCTTCATTATGATAGTAGCCACCGAAGGGTTGCTGACCCGGAGTGTGCGCACCCTGTGGAACCTTGCGAGTGGGTGGCGCTATGGGCGCCGCATACTGAAATATCGGACGTTGTGGGCGCTTTGACGCCGTTGCCGAGTTCGTTGGCTGCTTCGCCTTATCCTTCTGCAGACTGGGAAATTTCACGAACTTGGATTCAAAGTTATTGTTGCTTTTGGTCATGTTGTGCAAGAAGAGAATGTGCTTCTTCAGGTCGTCAATGTTGGAGGTCGGATCTGGAGGCGGTGTGGTGGTCGATGTGGTTGTTGTGCTGCGTCGTCGTGTGCTCGCTGCCGCAGCGCGGGTGGTGCTCGTTAGACGAGCGGGTGTGGGTATTGGACCCCCGCCCCATCGAGGGTCGGGCGAGGCATTCTTCAGTGCCATGGGCACTATAAATTTACGGTCCTCATCGGTGAGGCTGGCGGGAAGGCCGTTCTCATCGGTATCCTCGTCCAGTAGTATAATTTGTTTCAGATCCATTTCCTCTTGGATGGGGTGAACACGTCGAGCTTGGGCGCTCGGTGGTTCCAGCGGTACCTTTTTCGTAAGGTCAGCTTTTACATAACCGGTTTCAGAGTCCCTCAAGTCCACGGGCTTGATGAAGGTGCCCAATTTTCGGAGCCCTTCCTGATGCATATAGGCCTGTTCATCTTTTGTGATGTTCAGAGGTATGCTTGTGTTTGCCAGCACCTCTTGTTGGTTACCGAATTCAATGAATGGCGACTTCAGGCCCAGACAGCTGCAATTGGAGGAAAGAGGGAAATAGAGGGTCAAATAAATGTTTCAATGCTCTTAAATTGATAAATGGTCACTACTTGGTCACTATATTTAAGGCTTTGTTCAGTTGTCGGTGAATGGCGCCGCACACCCCATCCATACACACCTAGTTCGGCCGATTAGGCTGGCCAACCTTTTGGGTCTTCTTTGAGCCAACAAAGCGTAAAATGAAATTGTGAAAATCAAATATTGAAAATTAAAATAAAAAACTATCGCACTCAAACCTGGCACAAAGCAAGGCTGAGAAGAGGCGGAGATGAGCACTCAAGCCAGCTGCCAAAGTTAGTTGAAGTTTCATTTTTCTTGTCCAACTTTTCCATCAATTTTTCTTTCGGTTGAATCACGAAAATGGTTGTGTGTGCTTCATAGTTTCTGTCGCTGGTTGGATCTTTCTCTCATTTCTTTGCAGCCTCGATAGAGCCATAAAAGTTGGATGTGTTTCAGGGTTTATCAATTTAATGTTCAAATGGCAGCGCATCTTATCAGCCCTAAATTGTTATTGTCTCCAGCTCTGGTTTACTGGCGTCATGTGCCTGTCTGGCGCAGAGCCACTTTTCTGTTGACTTCTCCTGTTATCTGGTTACGCGGCCCAAGCATGTCTCGTGATTAATTTCTCTCCATTCAAATGCGCACGTAGGGACGGAGCTCACCATTTTACATTTTGTTTAAATTAGGAAAAATGGTTCGACTTCAGCCTCGGCTTCGGCTTCAGACTCCAATCAGAACGCCATCAATTTCGAATTGAAAATTGAAATAGGCACCAGCAGACTCCCAAGACACTAATCATTTAATTAAGTGAAAGTGGCGCCATGGCAGTCTTTAGAAAGTCTTCAGAACGGCATTTTAGCGCTGCCTGTGGCAGTAAGATTAAAATATCTAAGGGAATAAATACTCTGACTATACATAGCTCAGTTGAATGCACGCAAATGATTTAAATACTAGACTTATTGCGTAAGAAGCGCGGACATGAATCCACACAAGTAATTTGAACACCCCTCCTCACCGGAGCAACGATGTCATGTTTCGGATGAGAACTTAAAGAGAAGAGAAAAAATATAGCCCTTTATCGACTGCCGAGATATATTCCGAGTTATATTTTGATTTGACTGAAGACTATTTTGTGGTTTCACCTTTTACACCGATAAAAAATTCTTCTCCACCACATTGATTGACTTTTTTACATTTTTGATGTTCTACTTCAACTTCTTTAAAAAACTATGCACCATAAAATAGGAATGACATTACAAATAAAATAAGACTTTTCTTAAACAAGAGAGGACGCTCCAGTCGAGCCACACCAACAGTGCAATACCCTATACCCAGACCATCTACATAAAATTATCAATTTTCATTTTAAATGTCATCCAAATTGGTAAATTCTAAGAAATGTTATTAGCGAAATCTTCACTCCTCTTTCTTTCCTGCAGGAAGACCCTTTCTTTCTTCTTTTTAATTTTTTTTTTTGGCATAAGGCCGTTAATTTTTATAATATCTATTTTGAATTTTAAATATTAATTTGAAAGAGCATACATCAGGTACTTCGAATCAATATATAAAAACATTTCAGTAGCAGCGCTAAAAAAGTCAGATTTAAGGTCAGCTGTTTGTCTGTCAACATTTACGGAAAACTTTTATTCAACTTTGCAACACCTGGTATCCAAATCTTTATGATTGAAATTGAAAATAAAGGTCAAAGTATGGCAAAATAATTGTTTTTAAAAGATTTCGAATTATTGTTCGAATTCATTGTTATAGTTGTGGATTGTCCTTGTTATGTCTTATTTTAGAAAAAATCAAGCCGAAGTGTTCGTGTATTGTGGAGTGAAAAACTAAAAAAATGACTATGCAAATTTTTACTGCAAACTGTGATTTTAAACTTCTCGCTAACACTTTTTGCCCATTCACTTCATATTTCCCATTTTTAGCCAAATTTGAAGTTTAAAAATTTAATCCTAATGGATTTGTGGATCAATGAGAAGCGAAATGAAAAGGCGGTATTTAACTTGGATCCATCAAAACTATATATCAATTGATTTAAATGCCGAAATCATTAAGAAAATAAGGAGTTTTCCCCTAGGTACAACTATTATACAAAATCTACGTAATTGAAGAGAAAGCCTTCCAGTTGGCATTTGTCAAGCAAGATTATTGTTCCATCAGTCAATCGAATGGGACGACCACGACTGTCTTAACGGTTGAAATGAAAAATTGCAACGAATCTGGCCGATAATGAAGAAAACTATACAAGTCTCAGTGAAGAAGGCCAACAATACTGCTTTTGTATTTAAAGAATACTATTTCTACTTCAAGCACATCAAGCGAGATAAGAAAGAAACTGTCACTCTCAGAGCCGGTATCACTCGCTACAAGTGATTTTTGATTGAAAATTCCGCAGCCAAAGCCCAAATCAACAACATACGAGCATTAAAGAAATCAATAAAATTAGATTAATATAATGGTATTAATTTAATACCTATAATAAATCAGAATTTACGTTCGTTTATATTCAAATATGAAATAATAATAAGAAATCTAATCCTAATATGGGCGGTATAGGTGGGCGTGGTAGGATTGACTTGAAATTTTGCTTACTTTCTTTAACTGCTAATATAATCAATTCCACCAAAATTCAGCTTTCTAGCTATAATATTAGACTTTATGGCAAATATAATTCCCAACGGGTTGGAGGCATTAATAGACGTTATTGCATAGTTTTTTCTTAGTTTATGTTGAAATTATAACGTTGTATTTTAAAATATCTTTATTTCATTTTATAAAATTATATTATATTTATGCAAAGAAAAGGTAATGTGGCCCAATGTGCAATACACAAATTTAAATAACACGTTGAGATCGAAGAAACGAACTAATATTAGCCGTTCGAATCAATTCGACGCAGAAAATATGAAATATCGCAATACGTTGGAATCTGAGATGGGATTGATCATTTAAAGTTCTTTTGTTCGACGTCAAAGTCACTTCAACTCTCGCAATACCTACATTTCAATATATGTATATAGTATAGTATGATGTGGAAAATCGTCGCATTGCTTGTCGTTGTGTTGGCGTTGTCCTTGCAGGAAGTTCGGAGTAAAGGCACCGAATTTGGCGTTCGCATACCGATGGACTTTCTACTGACCCGTTACAATATGGCAGAACCGGGAAAATTTCTACGCATCACCGAAAAAGATTGGACTTTCGAGCAAACAGCGCCCAAGCCACACTCTATAAGCGCCATTATCGTATTGGATAGTTATGAGAAGAGCGAAGGAAATACGGTGGCATTATTAAAGGGCGGGCCAGGAAGCCAATTCGCCAAGTTACACGCAAAGAGCCAGCGAGGTCATGGATTCAATTTCACCATCGATGTCTATGGACATTGACAGAAATTGTAATCGCAATTGGAAATTCTAGAAAATGACGCGTGTTTGTCAAGAATAAATGTTTTCTAAATTTTGCAACACCTCGTTGAGACACTGCTCGAGATTGTTCATTGGGGGCCATTTCTATCAGCGGGGCATTGCGTTTGGTATTTTGGATAAGATAAAATACCTTGTACATTGTTCAATTAGAACAATTATAGAGTTTTGAAAACATCACTCAATCGCACATAAGCAAGACAGCGCCCTTGATATGAAAGCGATTTGTTGAGCACGTAAACGGTGCCTAACTATCTGCCTGATAATGCTGGCGATTTTGCAATAAAAGACCAATACTAGGCGACACACGCAACACTTGAACGCTTTGAGTCTAGCCATGAATAGATCCTCTACAAGTATTTGCCTTGTGGCTTTGGTCAGCTTGGTGCTGGGCAGTGTGTTTGTGGCCTCCGTATCCGCCGGCAACGATTACCTGTGGGGCGAAATAGGACCAAACGATTATAAGTTGGCCAAAGATACGGTTAAGAAGGCCTTTGTGCTTGGTCTGGTGCAGTCAAAGAAATATGTGTTTAAACAATCCGTAAGTCTGCAGAGCAATTGATATTCATGCTAAGCTCTAATTTGGCTTGTATCTATCTCCATCGATAGAACAATTTAGATGCTCTGACCATCACAGCCATCCGGGTTACGGATAAGAAAAGCAGCGATGGTGCCACGGCTCAGCTCACCAGTGGGGGTCCCGGATCGAAGGGGGCGACCATAACCTTCAAATCACAGCGTGGTAAAGGCATTAAGGATGTTGTCGAGATTTGGGGTCGTTAAGCAGTTGTTCTCGATCGGTAAATAAAGATGAGAAACCAATCAATCAGATGTGTGTTGCAATTCATGCTTCTCTTACGGTTCGCCGCCTCCCCTTGAAGTTAGTTAGCTACTTTTTGTTTGCTATTGACATAGTAGCGTGGAAGAACAGTTACAAGCTGTTTCAACACAATGCAGCTAGAGGCCACATCTGGCTGGGCGGGTTGGCGCTCAGATATTGTTGTCGCCGGCACTTAATTGTCAAATTATCAAAGTAGGCCAAGAGACAGTCGTTACGACAGGGCCTATAAAAGCTCGTGCCCGCCGAGGCAGCAGCATCAGTAACGTTTTGTCTTCAAATTCAAACCAAACTAAAATGCAGAGTACGGTGTTCGTTCTTCTTGCAAGCGTCTGCTTGATTCAGGTGCAGGGTCTGGGCTTCAACAGCGAACCAAATGACTACACTTGGGGAGCGAAAGTTACCGGCGACACTCTAATTGCAAGCGAGGTCGTAGTTCGGAACAAGGCGCCACTGCAGACCGTGACAAGAACCTACGTTCTGACACAGGCAGGCACCGCCAAGATCATTAGTTATATTCGCATCAGAGACTTGAAGAAAATGCGTGGCGCCACAGCAGAGATTACAGCCGGCGGCGTCGGCTCCGACACAGTCACCATCAGATTCACCTCCGCACGTAGCGCGGGCATCAAATCACAGGTTGAAATCTGGGGACAGTAATATAGCAAAAAAAAATATGTGCGTGTCTAGATACAAATTTTTCTTTATATTGTAATTTAATTAAAATAATACAATAGTTGTTTTCCTGAACTTAACTTGAGTTGCAATTTCTATACATATACTTGTATAAATGGCCGGTGTGTGTAGCCATCTGGACTGACTTTCGATCAGTTCCCAACTTCTCCGTAGATCAACCATTTGCTATTTGGGGGAGTACATTCGAATATCTTCTCAACTGTGTAGTGCTGATAAAAAAAATAATAATAATGTGCTTCAAAAGCTGACGGTGTTCATGAAACAAATCACATTAACAAACAGCATGTGCCCCACAAGCGCTTCACTACTTGATAAGATTTCTTTCTGTCCATCACACGTAGCTAATCAGAAGAGTTGCTGAATCATGCCCTTAGCCGATAGTTAAGAGCATGGAATGGTCACAATTTTCAGAATACAAACATACACATTCTGATAAATTGATATCCTTAAATATTTGGCATGCTAAGTACTTTATAGTAAATTCTTGCTTTAACGTCCGCGAGTGGCGTGCAAAATGAGCGTGAAAACAAAGTACGAGTTCGTTTTTAGAAACAAGTTACGCTTAGATTGTTAGTGTATTTCGGTTTCCTCAAGAGATGAATCTGGTGTTGGTTTTCTTTTGCAATTTGTGCATCGTCACTATCCTCTATGAAACAACAGCTACGTGTACAATATATGGTTCCAAAGAACCTGGTGACGAGCTTCTACATCACGAGCACGTTTTCAGAGCCCCACATGGTCAAGTGGCTCAGTCGTACGATGTCGTCTTTCCGAAGAAGGTTCGTCGGCGAATTATTCTTGAATATTGAAACTCATGCCGATATACATATTTCTCAGGGCAAGCGCAATGAGAAGGTCATAACAGCTATAGTGGCGTCCGATCTGAGCCCACGCAATAATGCAACCACATCCATTAAGTCGGGTGGTCCTGGAAAAAACTATGTAACGGTTCATCTTAAGGCACTTCCTCGGAAGTTTATGAATTATATAATACTAATCTATGGCAGGATCAGTGAGGCGAATCTGGATAATTTAGTAAAGGGACGAAGTAAATTATAATGATGTCGTGAACTTTATAGTGTAAAGTGCTTAAGAATTCGGCGGTCTCTTTGCGAGCTTCTCATCAATACATATGTACAAGTATTTCTCAAATGCAATATTATTAATACAAGCTTTAATTATTTTACAAAAATGCACAAAAATATTGTTGCTTTCCGATTCCAATAAATAATCACCACTTCTGGTTTACATAATTAGAACGACTTTTTATTATGAAACCTCTTTGTAATGCTTAAATATATTGTAGGTTGTGTATTTAAATTATTTTACGAGTTTGTTTTTATCATTTTCTGCCTATGCAATAAGTATGTATTTATTTATATAGTAAATTATATATTTATTTTAATTCATTCTTAGTGTTTGGATTGTTGTGCACAACTATTTTCCATAGATTTCCACGCGGAATATCAACCCGTAATTGTACTGCGACTGCAGCTTAATGTTTACAAAATTAAAGCCCGGCCCTCCGGAATATATCGTTGCATGGCCGCCAGTGTTGTTGGTTACTTGATCGAGGGCCCGTATACCCGTTATGATGCGGCCATTACCGATGCCCTGCAGAGTGGGAAGCATAGTGAAAGGTGATCAGAGAAAGTACATTGCAACTCATACGACCATATTTAAACTCTGCAATTCCGTATTATTCTGACTTCAAAACATAATGCCAATAAATTGATTTTATGAAGAAAAAAACGTGTAGACAATTTAAAGAAAGAAACTCTTGTTTCCAATAATATTTAAACACCGAGCGGGGTTTTTTTTCACCATATACTATAAATTACAAAATAAACTGTTTAATACAAAGAATAAAAAGTGATTAAGTGTTTTCACATTGAACTTCTTTCGAGAAGAATTAATAGTTAATACTTTTGACGTAGTTCAAATAACATTTACTCTTTTTTTTCAAGGCATTATTTTATTCAATAAACCATTTCACAGTATGTAATATAAATATGGTCGCAAGAAGGTTTATTTACATGCCGTTCAGACAGGGATTTAAATATCACCAATTTTAGAATTTTTGAAAATTTATATCCCGTTCCAAGCAGCAATATCGAACTTATCGAACAACTACTATCTTAAACGCTTCTTCGTCATTTGTTTTATGGTTCTTCTTCCTTGTTTACAAACACTATTTATAGAAAATATGCTAGAGTACGAGGTGATTCATTTAATGCGGCAGTCAGTGGGTCAGACAGGGCTAATCTTTACATACATTACCCATTTGTCTAGACTTGACTCGCGTACATTGTGTGCAACAAGTATTACTTCAGAATTTGCACACGAGTCTGAACACTACAGTGGAGCAAGCTGATTGAAAAAGGGCCTCCATTCTATACTCTACAAGCGTGAAACACTCAAATAAAAATACGCCACTTCCTCAATGCTTATCAAAGTCTGCGTTTCGCAAATTTGCAAAATCGTTTCCGGCTCGTCGAAAACAGATCGCCATTTCAGCGAATAAGTAGTGGCATAAAAAGCATAAAAGAAGCTTGAACAGATACGAGCAAACATATAAATAAAAACAACAACAATAAGAAAAAAACACAAGAGAGTATAGTACAGTCGAAAAACCTGAACCCAAAAGAACTTTCGCTTTTGCTAAAAAAAAATTGACACACTATACAAGATTTACAATAATGGACAAGATTGTCAAAGTACTGAAGAGCGTCCTATTAGAGCCATTTTGGACAAGCACTTGAACATCTATACTGATCAGATAGATATACTATATACTCTTTGTAGGGTACTCTCTGCCTGTTCCATACATTTGCACATACATATATACGAATAGGATACTTTGTAAGAACTTTCGCTTTTGCTAAAAAAAATTGGCATACAAATTACTGTAGAGCATCATATTGGAGCCGTTTTGGACATCCAGTCGAACATCGATCAGAAATATATACTATATATAGGGTACCCTCTGCCTGTTCCATACATTTGCACATATATACGAATAGGATACCATGTAAGGGTTAATTTGTGAGCATTTGGCTGTAAACAGAAGCGATTGCGAGAAAATGCGAATTGAATGGAAAGCAACCTTGAGATACATAGCAAGCAGTGCGCAATTGGGGTGCAGAGCAACAGAGCACAGAATAGGCGATAAGCAAGCCCCTACATATACAAGTATGTACATCATAAGTAGCTGAAAAGTGAGCGCCGTTAAACCTTGAGAGAAAGTGACAGCCGGACGCGATACTAAGGCGTGCTGACCACACATGCTGCCACATATACGCACACACACACGCACACATGCACACACACACACACACACCAGCTAGCATACACTTGCGTTTGCAATTGAAGATGTTTAACGAGAAGAAGGAGCGCCTAAAATATTACACTACAACCAATTGCCGCTTACGTTCTTCGGATATTTAATCTCATGGTTTACATATTTGCCCGGCGATGAGGCATTCACCACGTTCTCAGAGTGCAGCAGCTGCGCCGAATTCGAGATGTTGCCCCATGTGCTCGAAACGGCATACGCGGTGGCCACACAACAGGCAATTAGAATGAGATGCGAGAGCGGCAAACCGTGGCTAAGCGTCATTTCCACAATTTCTGTGTGCAGGGGGAAAACTCCTTGATAATCGTACTGGCGATATTTTTAGAATTTGTTGAACTTGGTGCTGGTTTCTAATTTGTTATTGTTGTTGCTGTTGCTGTTACTGTTGCTTTTGCTGCTACTGTTGCGGTTGCTGCTTCGAGTAAATTTCTATTATCGTCGCATGTGCGTTTTGTATAAAAAGAGACGCTTATCAGTTTTTGCGTAGTGTCCGTTCTGTGGGTTCTTCTAATGCGCTACTGTGGCGAGCTCTTCTATATACATATATATATATATATATATATATATATATATACACAAGTACTATATATAGTATGTATATATTTTGAACGCGTTGCAACCGCTCGTGTTAAGTACAGATTTAAAACTAATTCATGGTGGTGAGCGCGAGTTGTTTTCAAGTCTATAGCCAACGCCAACAACATCAACAAGACGAGATTATTTTCAACTTAGAATGGAAAGGCAAACCAGTGAGCCAGGGTTTCTATATAGATCCACTCAAATGCTTATCAACAGCGTGAGTGCAAACACTCGAGCTATGTCCGCATGCGATGGCGCAAAATTTCACGCATACGACAAATTTATTTCAAAAATTTAATCTGATTCCTGCAAGAACTCGATTAATAATTGTCATCAAGTCTCTTGCAATTTTTTTTTTTTTTGAATTGTGTTCGACACATCTGGACTTCATGGATAAGGGAAATAAAAGTAGCTTAATCGCTTAAGAAAGTGGAAATCAGATCATCCTCAAAAGAGTCTGGCTCATAGAATTCGACACGATTGATCGCTATGGCCACAAAACTCATATGTAATATTGTGATTTTTATTTTTTCGTCGGGGATTTCTCACAAAAATTGCAATCAAATGAATAGTCTGGGCAGCCAGTCTACTCGACTGATAAGCTCGTACTTCATTTGAATTATGCCGCCTATAAATAAGTGTCCCAATAGATAATTGAATGATATTCTATCGCTTCTCGTGTCTTTCTCTTTACTTGTATATATTATTTATAGCTAGGTTGTCAGACAATTTCGCTATATAAATCGAAATTGGTGCCCTAAAAGGTAACAGTTGTGCACTACTTCTTAGCGTGTAAATAACTTTGAAACGAAAATGAAGGTTCTGCAGCTTGTGATCGTCTTCTCCGGCATTTTGGCCATCGCTTATGCGGCCAATGCAACTTGGGGATCTAAAACTAACCAGTCCGTGCTCGCCAACACCCAAAACTTGACCGTCAACAAGGGTGCCAATCAATACCAAAGCTCAAGCATTTCTTTCCCAGCCAACGTAAGTTTTTCTAGACTACAAATACGTACTATCCGCTGCAGAAATTCATGCAATTTGTTTTCCCCACAGGGCCAGATTAATACCAAGATCATCACCTACATTAATGTCATAGACAGATTCGCCAACAGCTCTGGCCCAACCGCAACCCTCTGGTCTGGTGGTCCCGGTTTCACGTTCGCCACCATCAATTTAAAGAGTCAATACAACCAGGGCATCAATGTAACAGCGCAGTTCTGGGTTCAGAATTAATTTTTATTACGATATAAAAGCATTTGAAAGTATACTCAATGGTTGTGTTATTGAATTTTGTATCACATATTTTTAGGCGCTCGCTAATTTCTGTTCGCTTTCAAAACAGAGTTGCTTTCTTCCGCCGCTGTTAACATCGATGATTGGTTTATAACTGATATATTTTACCAATAGAAATGATTCTCCCCCTATATGCAGAGACTGGTGCTCCACATCGTAATTACGACAGATTCGTACAGGGGGCCAAATAACAAACAAATTAAAGAAGCGTGCCTTGTTCAAGTTATTGTAGAACTGGAACTAACTAATTATGTTAATTTGAGCGGCATGAATACCTCAACACAAAGCATTTATTACTTTCCCCCATGTTTCGTGCCCTTATCATGCTGCCTTTTGTGCAGAATACATTCAATTGGACAAGTCATTGAAATCAGCTAGACTCCTTTACTATAGTACTTGATTCTTTGTTCTGTACTCTTTCTTTGCCAAACTAATTAAAATGGTTTTAAAAAAAATTTGTAAAAAATACAAAATAACAGATTGTAACGTTGCACTTCAACACTTAAATAAATAAGAAACTAAGTTCATTTGCTGCTCAGTTCATGAATAAAAGCAACGACTGAACAAGTAAGTTGAAATGTTCTTGAACGAAATGAAGGAATAAATGAATGAAATAATTGAAAAGTTAAGAGACACACTACTTAGGCTATCACTCTGAACTAAAGTGTCACTTTTAACATTGTACCAGACCCTATCAAGCATTTCCTGTGTCGGAATTCTATTTAACTCTGTGCACTCCAAATCACATAAAGTATATTACATATACAGTACTCGGTCGGTAATGGCAAAGAATTATTTGTGAATGAGTAAATAGACAGACTTATTATTGAAAATTTACAACAAATTGTGTTTTTTTTTACCTCAATAAACGATTATAAAATAAGCTTTTGTAAATAATAACCGTATAATTAAAGTTAAGAAAAATAAGACTTAATAAGCAATTTACTTAGTATCTTTTAAAACTCAGTAAAACAAAACATTTTCAAACTCAAAGAAATACCATAGAATTCCACATAGATATGGATTAATCTTATAATTCACTAGAAACTGCAAATTTGTTCGGTATCCATAACATAAAACCTGTTGTCCAATAGGTTCTGCACTAAAAATATTCACTTCGTGTTATAGGAAGATCCGTTGTTGTCCTTATCAGTTATGCTATTACAACAAGAAAGAACGCTACAGTCGAGCAAGCCCGACAGTGTAATACCCTGTAAACTTCCGTCACTGAGTTATATGCGCCCATAGCAGCAGCAAAAAGAGGAAGAAGAAGAGCGAACTTGTTGCTGCAGTTTGTGGGGGTTGTACTGGCGAAAATTTGTTTTGCTAATAACTTTTCTTAAAATTGACCGAATTGAATAAAATTGAACAACAATAGACAATTATATATAAATTATGTGTGCAAAGTTTGGTTGAGGTAGCATTTGAAATGTGGACGCTATTGACGAAATTCTGCAGCGGGGGAAGGGGGGAAAATTAAAAAAAAAAACATAAACTCGTCCTTACTCGGACCTAGGAGAATCTGGATGCCAACTTTGGTTATTCTAGCTTTTATAGTTTCTGAGATCCTCGCGTTCATCCAGACGGACAGACGGACGGACAGACGGACGGACAGACGGACGGACATGTCTAGATCGATTTCTCTCGTCATGCTGATCAAGAATATATATACTTTATGGGGTCGAAGATGCTTCCTTCTGTATGTTACATACTTTGCACAAACCTAATATACCCTTTTTACCCTACGGGTACAGGGTATAAAAATGTATTTAACCAAAAAGTAGTTTCGGAAAGCTATAACTCTGGTTCCTTGGCCCTACCTGTGTGCGAGTTGTGCTCGAAAGAAAAACACTGTACGATATTTCTTTGCACATTAAGAATATATACTATACACATATTTTTATTGAGCGACTACTCTGACTACTCAGCAATAAATAAAAATTTACACACTTTTTTTGCAAATCAAGATCAGATCTCTTCTATGAAATCAGTCAGATTCTATTCTATTAACTTATTTGATTTCTTTAGATAGATATTCCGTGAATTTCATTCGAACTTGAAATCTGATTGCAAGATATCTGCTTGTCACCACTTCAAACTTTTTTCTAGCAACAAATCATATACTTGTATATCATCCGACATGGAAGCGTGTAAAGTACGGTCCTAATCAGTTCCTTATTCGATATTGAATAGCTGCTTGCCCAGATGTTAGCCACTCGAGCGCCATGTGAGTCAATTATTTTGCCATCAGTTGGCAAACAAGAGCGGGAAGAAGCAAAGCAAAGCGCGTAACTTATCATTGTCTCTGATAAGAATGGTTAGAGAGGGGGCCTTTCTGCGCCACCTGGGAGACATGGCATTGTCTACGCCAGCTCTCTGTCTTCCTCTCTCTGATAAGCTTAGGGAAAGAAACAAAAAATTGAAAGTTAATTAAAATGTGTTTGTAAACAGCATTAGTCATGAGCGCAGTCTCTGGTTACAGAGAGCCGACATTCTCCTATAAAAGTAAACGAATTCGCACGGTTGGCACAATTCGAAATATCCATTGAACGACTCAAGATGAAATTCCTACTCAGCTGTGTCTTCCTGCTAGCTTTGGCCGCTGCGTGCCAAGCCTTCAGTTCTAGCTGGGGTGTTAGAAACAGTTCCGATCTTTTGCTATCAAGCCAAAGGGAGGTGCGCGCTCCTATTAAGAACAACTATTGGAGCATCAATATAGACTTCCCACGAGCGGTAAGTCAATGGAAAAGACAGGCGTGTAATAAAACAATAAAGTCTCGTTGTTAATTTTCAATCTTGCAGGGCACCACAAATGTGCGCAATATTTCGGCTGTCTATGTTTACGACAACTTCAGAAATAGCTCCGGCGCCACGCCCAGTCTGTGGTCTGGTGGCCCAGGATATCGTTTCGCGCAGGTTAACCTACGCAGTCAGGTCAACCGTGGCGTGGACTCAACCGTCGAGATCTGGGGACGTTAATTTTAAAGTGCAAGAATAGAGTGTAAAAGAAATTGACAGCAGCTTAAGCGGCTTGGTGTTAAAATCAAATATAAATAAAATGCCGCTTAATTGACATCTAATTGCTTTTTTATCTGCTGCCAGACAGCGGCAGACTTCGGCACAGACTATGGCCATTAGCAGCGTTTTCGTGGCAGACATCGTAAATTTCGACCGAGATGTCAAGCAAATGTAAACATACTATACATATCGTTAAACGCTCGTAAAAAAAATTCTACGACAGCAAAATCGAATGCAATTAACGCAATCCGCTCCTTTTACGACGTCGCTGCCACTACTACTAGCAGACTACATACTACTCATTCGGGGGGGAAAATCACTTAAAACGCCATCGTAGCACCATGACTGCATTTTATTTCTCCGTTTTTCCGTCTTTCCGTCTTTGCGTCTTTGCGTCTTTGTCAGGCAACAAAATTTTCATTGCATGCTGCATGAAGTGAATAAAATAAACACGCCAACTCACCATTTCAGCACCCTTCCGTTCCCTTCCCTTCCTTTTCTACTCCCATTCCCATATCACGGGTGGCGTTTGCTCTGCTATCCTGCCGTCTTGCTGTCCTGCTGTCCTACTATTGATATTGACACACGCCGAGGCCGGGCTTCGTTAAAAAGCCATAACCGCATGCGTGACTGCTGGACTGACTGTATAGCTGACTGTATAGCTGACTGTGTGACTGCCTGACTGACTGACTGGTCGATCGGTTGGCTGCTTGTGCGTGGAATTTAAAGCTAAGCCCCCATAAATCTGTTGCGTGCACAACACTTCACGTCACTTCATTCGCATCGAACCCAAATCGAATGCATTGCCCTCTTGCTCTCCTTCTTGTCTCTCTCCCTCTCTCTCTCTCTCTCTCCCTGTGTGTGATGAACGACAAACAAGTGCATGTGTAAACATGTCTTAGCATGCCATAAAATGTTGCGCTTGTTTTAGGCGGATTTTCATACGAGTATAGTTGATGTGTGTTCATTCTTCATTCCGCGGTCGCGAAAATGCTTCTGGTCTGGATTTTCTCAGTCTCAACAGCTGCCACCGCAGCAGCACAACTGCACTTAAAAGGCATTCAATATTTCATGCGGCAATTTTCGCGGTGTATGCTTGCATGTGGGTAAAGGTGTGAACAGACTGGTGAGCCCACTGTGCAGCCCTATCGCTGAGAGATGCTTCCTATAAAACATGCATTAACAACATATGCTCGCAAATTTTCACGCAACTTGCGAAATTCGCCAACAGCATTCTCAAGATGCTCCAATTTGCTTGAGTAATGCTACTAATTTCGCATCAGCACGAGCTGCCGAGCTGCCAGAGACTACATCATCAGATACATACATATACTATGTATGTACTATGTATTCAAAATATATTTACTAGACACGTGCACTGAGAGAAATTAGCTCGTTAGCCGTACTGTTTATTTTATATCAATCAAATGTGATTTTTTGAACAATTGCTTTTTCATTATGATTTTTGATTTATTATTGTTTATTATTAAAACTTTTATAGAGAAATGTTTCCAACACCAAAACAGCAAACGGACAGCAACAGGGCATGTCAAATTTTCTCACGTGTTTGATAGGGCCCTAATAATTTGTTATTACCTTTCTATATTTTCTCCATTTCATAGTTGAAAGTTATTGCAAAATTGTTACTCTGTGAATGAGTTGGCAGCAATATATATTTGTATTTATTATTGATAAATTGCGGTTTATGAATGAAAAAATCATCGACATACACCATAAAAGACTGAGTTGAAAACTCGACAAATAAGATCAGCTACAGTTAGTCTAAAAGACATTTTTGTTAAATCCCAAAAACTAAATAGGGTATCTTTCCCAATGCAAATGTATTATGCTAGGAATATCAGAATGTGAGTTTGCTCCTGACTAGACACTCGGTTCGAATCACTTCAGAAGCATGATTGAAATTTCAAAGTAATCATAAAGTTTAATAATTGTCTAACCTTGGACAAATCTTAAATAAAAGATTAAAGATTTACAAAAAATATATATACAAGTATATATTCCAATAATTGGTATTAAAGGTACAAATAAATTGATTTCCCTTTCCACCATCGAAATTCTTGTTTCTATAAAATTATTGATATTTTGTTTGTTTAGTTTGCGATCCAATATCAAAAAGAAATTATTCACTTTATATGATTATGCTCAAATACTTGTATATACTTATACGAGTATCCCGTGAAACAAACGTCACTTTTGTTTTCGGAAACCTGCTAAATATACTTCAGTAGCTCCACTGAACTGATATTATTTTTGTGTCCATAATCTACATATGTGTAGTTGTTGTGTATTGTACAGCTTTATAAAATAAATCTGCATTTAGAAGCTATAGCGCGTCCAGTACTGTGCATTCTACTTACAAATTAAATATTAAAAATATTAAAAATTCAAATATAATTCACACAAAAGTTAGAGCGAATTTTTGAGGAAATGAATGAGTGAAAGCTTTTGACCTATTTTCTCTAAGTGTACGTACGTGTAAATACAGACTTACAATACAGGCTTGTTGTTATTGTCGCTACAAACTTTCCCGGCATTTGCATCGTGCAAAATGTTGCAAATATTTGTTCTTTAATTAAATGTTTTGTGCAACTTAAAGCGCCATTTGCCGAAAACAAAAGCAACATTATTCCGTTTAATTTACTTTGCTGCTTTTCCCCGGCTCCGATAACGGAATCAAAATGGTAAATAAAGCAGAGCAGTTTACTTGCATTTCAGCAGTATGGGGCCTAATTAATGAGAAATATATAACATCATAGCCTTCTGATAAGATGCCTTTCCACAGCCAAGGCTTATATGTGCATCTGAATTTCAGGAGTGACAAGCAGGGTGGGGAAAATGAATAGCTCTGACTACTTGCCTAATAGGTAAGTACTTTAAATGGAAACAATTTTGATAGCTGCTGCAATTTTAATGAATATATGGCTGCAGTTAGGCCATTTCAAGTGCCAGCATTTCCATTTCTACTTGTATTCAAGTTCCGTTTCAATTACTTCGACAACACGAGAAGTGGCATCACGAATCTAATATCATTTCAGCTTATTGTTCAACAATTTCAAGTTGATTTGATTGCAAGCATTTGGCAGTAGACCCGGTCATAAAATATGCAGCAATAACTTCAGGTTTGATTTGATTTGCTCATTCACCCAAGACAGAAGCAGCACAAATCCAGTGCCTACATGCATACTCGTATGGGTGTGTGGGTGTGTGTGTGTGTGTGTGGATTTTAAATTGAAATCTAAAGTATTAAGGTGAAAATGAAAAATGTGCCCCCTCGAATGCGCCGCGTCATGCGGCAGTGGCAGAGCTGAACAAAGTAAAAAAAAGCCAGCACACCAGCACACCACGCCAGCCCAAATAGTTGGTTAGCTGCATTGCATGACTGCCAACAATTGCCACAAAATGCAGTGTTGCACAGAAAGGGAAAAAATTTCAAACAAAATGAAAAAACAGGAGTGTAAAAAATCCTATGTAGCTTAAAATCGCGCGAGCCCCAGCGTTGCCGGCCCACGCAGTTACAAGTACCTGAAGATCTCGCGGCCCCTTTTGACCCGCGGCTGTGGCGTATTCGGCTGTATTCGTGGTTTGCCACCATACCGCCAACTGATTGATTTGCAATTGCAATGAAGACAATGGAGCTCAATAAATGCAAAGGCTGAGAGGGAGACGGGGATGGAGACAGAGACATTGGCAGTCGAAGGAGCGACAGATAAAAATGAAATAAAAAATTTAATTTGATTATTGCGCTTATAAAACTTCAATGAATGGCCCTCGCAATTGTCGAACTCATCGTCCTCCAGTCCTCCTCGAGAATTGAACTTTCGGGTTGCCACGAACTGTTTGCATTAAGCTTTATTGCCAGCGATAAGGTCGCAGGCCGCAACTGTCGTCGGTAGTGGCAAGACTGGGAACATTTTTTTTCTCATTTCTGACGCCGCACAGGCAGTGTGGCTTTTGACGGGCACGGTCTGCCAAGCTGCTTGCCTAATAGGGTCAATTGTGTCGGCAGCCAAAATGCACAAAACTCTCGACTTGGTTCGTTTTCGTAACAAATTAAACTTTGGCGCGCACAGCAAGACTGCGGGCTCCACACACACACACACACACACACACACACACACACACACACACACACACACACACACACACAAACACACAGATACTCACGCTCTGAAGCTGAAGATATTTGAGCCGAGATAGCCCCCGACTCTCGCAGCCAGTGCCAGCAACTGCATCCTGCATATCGCTAGCCAGCAATATGGCAACCAGCTTCAAATCATTGCCACATTTAATTTATCTAAATGTTTTTGGGTCCAACATATCTTTTCAATTAGATGGCCCCAAGCACAAATTGATACATCCGCCTTTTAAATATACCCATACCTATGCACTAAAGTCCATATGAAAACTGAAACTTATCGTCTGGCTCGGGTAGCATCGGTTCAATCCCATCTGAGACGACCACGCGTCGATTTTCTCCATAATCGAACCTTCTTTATCGCTCTCATACTCGTAAGTACGATTGAAACGGCACGTAAATGCGTATTTTTGAAAACACTTTACATATTTTAGCTTGGACAAAAGTGCAATTAAAAACACTTTTAGATTAGTATTCTCCATCCACAATTCGAAGTTTTGAGTTGCCAGAAAGCATCGCGAGAGCATCTGTTGGGAAATTGAAACTCTCTGCGATGGCGTCGTTAACTAAAAATTAACGCCCCTTTTTATCAGATCTTCGTTTTATATGCATCCAAAATATATTCATAGACCGAGCATATAAATGTAAATGATTTGTAGTCGATGTGGCTTTTCTCGTTCGTAGCGAGGGAAATTACAATTTTGTTCTTTATTCTTTTTTCTTAGACAGGCAGCAACCATTCATAGGCAGTTACTTTTTAATAGAGGTATTACTTACTGAATGCTAAAAACTTTAAATTCTAATTAATATTTTGACTTGACTCTTCATTGTGTACCAGTGTTTCGAGGGTTTTGAGGCTTCATTCGAAATTCTGTAGTGGGAGGAACCTAGGAATAGGGAG